TAGGAGGGACTGTATGGATCATTGAGAATCCAGCCCCTCTCAAAGAAGCCCAGTGGGGGAATTGAACTCCCAGCTGCTGGCTCCACAGCTAGAGACCTCAACCACGGAGCTGTCCAGCCATTCAACTTGAGAAGCTTTGTTTCCCCAAGGTGTTCGCAAAAGTCCTTAGAGTTCAACCTTTCTGTTTTCTGTCTTCAGCAGATATTGCTGCTGCTGGTGCTGTCCTTTTCCTGGTCTCCCCCCCTCCCCACATATTCCAACTGATGATCGTTTCTAATTCCCCCTCCCTTTTTCAACTAAACCAAAGGTGATTGAGAAGCCTGGTTCTCTCTCCTTTGTCTTGCTTGATCTCTTCCTGTCTTCCCAAATATTCGTAATAGTGCTTACTGCTCCTGTTGTGACCGTAATAGCGTTTCTTTCCAGACCTTATGAATGCTTCCTGTATGTGAAAAACATGGAAATTCAGGATGGGAAAAGTAAGGGATTTGTCAGTCTCTAGAATGAGCCAATAAGAATCACAGGGTTTCACCCGTGGCAGGACGGTTCCCTCTGCTCTCTGTTTTGTAACAGCTTTCTGGATTCAATTGCAGATCAGCAATATTGATAGAATTGTCTGGCTGGCCCTTCTCAGGTGTCTGTACTCTGCTGTGTCAGCTGAGCAGAACAGTTGAGATAATCATCACTCTGGGTGTGTGTCTGTGAGGAGGTATCAGTATGCATTGCATTTTTTTATGTGAAGTCCTTAGAATGCCTTTTTTTTAAAGAGGAAAAGGTATCTTACAGGAACTAATGGAAAAAAAAGATTATGAATTGGCGGTGCACGCTGCCCCCCCCCCGGTATTATGTGTAGTAGAAAGAGAGATCAGCTGTTTGTGCGCTCGTGCTCTGAAAGAGGATGGCCTTGTAATTAAATGCTGAAAAGAAGGCAAATGTTTGCTGATGAGCCTGGTGGGTGGTTAATTGAACCACCAGGGAAAGGGAGAGCGAAGCCCACGATTGCTTTGCTAACATGGTCCGTTAACATGAGGAAGAGAGACCCGGGCGCCCTCTCTCTTCCGGTGGCCCCCTGGAAGAGCTGCCCTAAATGTGAATAGAATGTGCATGCCCCAAAAATCGATAATTAATCTGGGAATAGGCGCCGCAGCTTCACCCAGGGCAGTTCACGGTGAGGTCGTGTTGGAACCCTTTCCCTTCCCCGGCAAAGAAAGGACCTGGCCGAGTTTTGCCCATGGAGAGAAGGGGCCACGGGGGTTTTGCCGGGTCACCCCTGTCCCGGATGCTCAGAGCGGCTGCCTTTAAAGCCTGTTGGATTAGAAAGTGGCACCCCAGAATCTCTTCCCACAAATGACACGGGTACGTTTACAGGCCATCTGCTATTAATATCCTCATTTACCGTAAATTATGGTGCAGGTGATATGCAGGAGAAGCAGCTGGAGCGTCCTTAACCATAGTGAATGAGCTGGAAGTTGGTGCGCAGATGGGTCATCGGTGGTGGGAGTGGTCAGTAGAAGACCGCCCATCCCAGGAGGACAGGGAGACTGAGAGGGTCAGCCAGGTGCTAAGAATTGTCTTATGGGAACCCCGCGTGTCCCCAATTTCTAGAACACTTCTGTGCCCTACCAGTGATGACATGTAGATCTCACTGGTTGCAAATCAGTGGTGTTAGTAGAGCAGGGTGATAGTGTGTTGGACATGTCCTGGATTCAGGACACTGGAATGGAAGGGGTTGATGCCAGACTGTGGGTGGAATTTGGTCCCCTTGGGCTTTTGAGAGGGACCTAGGAAAATATGTCGGGTGAGTGTGGGTGGGTGTTTAGGTGCAGGGACTGGCATGGTCCACCATACATTGAGCCGTTGTACATGGCTATGTATTTGCCCTCCCAGCATTAGTCACGCCACTCTTAACTTTGTTTGCAAGGGGAGGCTTCAGTGTCGTAGTGCATTACATGTTAGATGGGGTCCGGGGGTGGGTTGGGTTTGGGTCCTGGATTCAAATCCTTGCTCGGTCATAAAGGGTCTTTAGGAGATCTTAAGCAAACATCACAAGGAGGTTGTGAAGACAGAAATTGGGGGGAGGGAGGGAGGGAGGGGGCAACAGACTGGTATGAAGCCACGGAATCTTTGATGGAAGAGCAGGATGAACACGTCTCGAATAAATTGCTCTCTTTAATAAGTGGGTTGTCTTCCCAAGGAGGAGCCACAGGGGAGTCTGCCTGTGATTGAATTAAACAGTTCTATATTGGCTCTTCAACATGATTGTCAAGCCAGCAGGGTTGATTCTGCTGAATTGGCTGGAACACCGATCGATCGATCGATTGATGCTGCAATTAAGGTGAATTCTGTGCACCAGGGGGGAGAGAGAGGTGTGTGTGTGTGTTTATTTCTCTCCCTCCCTCCCTCTCTGTCTGTCTCTCTGTCTTTCTGTCCGTCCTTGACCTTGTATGGCAGAGAGACGTACGGTTGCCTTTGGCAGACAGGCGAACAACCCAGAGCCTCGAACCCTTTGCTGAACAGGCTGCTAATTTAATCTGGCCGGAAGCCTGGGGCAGCGGCTGCGGCCCAAAGCGGTTTCCTTTTCCATGGTGTGAAATCCAGCCTTGTGACAAACCAGACTGTGTGTTCTTCTGCCTGAGGTGAAGGAGAAATTCTGAAATGCCCCGATAAACTCATTTTGAGCTGCGGTGCAGCGACGGGCCTCATCTTTTCTTCCCGGCGTCTTTCATCTCTCTTTTTATCTCTGTGCCAGATTTTTCTGAGTGGTTACAAGTAAGTCGGCTTATAAGAGAGGCTGTTGGCTGTGGGTTCAGAGCCACCCCCCAAAAGGGAGCACTCATCAGATCTAGAGCTTGGAAAGATCCTTTTTTAAAAATTTTATTTTATTTTATTTTTTGGCGCTGCAACTCCCTAAATCAGCGCGGCTGTGGGGGCAGAACTGCTGGAGAACTCCGTGGTTTAGGAGGTCTCTGGTTCTCCAGAGCCAGGAGATGGGAGTTCGATCCCCCCCCCCGCAGGCCACCTTGGCTGGGGGGGGCTGGACTCCATGAACCACGGGGTCCCTTTCCAGCTCTGCCATTCCAAGATCATCATCATTAAATGGGAGTTGAAGTCCAAAAAAAAGAGAGAGGAACATATCCAAGTTCTCTCCCATCCTTTGCTCCTCAGGGCACTCTGTCACAGCTGAAAGGTGGATGGAGGCGAAAAGAGGTCTGAGCAGCACGAGAACCGGAAGCGCCAGCCTCTGCGCCTTCCTGGCACGTCTGGAGAAATGCCATGTCCTGCTGGAAAGGAGATACAGCAACATGGGTCGGTGGGGCTGGGAGAGGATGCGCCATCCATGTAGAAAGCACCTGCATGAGAGCAACCTCAGCGTGGTCGCTCCCTCTTGCCTCCTCTACCCTGATCTCCGTCAGTGGAGATCTTTCCGTGTCAGGTTTCCATGTTCGGGAGTCATGTTCAGAAGGGACCTGTTTTCCCGTTAAGGTTTCAGCCCATCGGCAGCAGCTGCCTCTTCTCCTTCCTCCACAGGCAGATGCTTTTCCTAAGAGGCAGCACTATCCTTCGACAGCAAGCAGCTTACGGATTCCCCCAAAACCACCCCAGTTCAAAAGGGGAGGGGGAGGCAAATGCTCGTCGTCCTCCCACCCTGCTGTCCTGCCATTGCCTTTCTATACTCTGGGTATCATCAGTTTTGTTTTTCCTTAAAAACTTCTGGCTAGTGTTGTTGACTCCTGAGAGAGCCGAGCGGACTTCTGCCGCTGGGTCAGTTAGAACACCTCACGAAAGATCTCCTTGCCTCTGCAGCTTAAACTTTCTCTGTGGCTGCCCCCAGACTCTGGAACTCCCTCCCACTGGAGGCCAGACTGGCTCCATCTTGGCTGGCCTTCCGGAAGCAGGCTGATAGACCTTTCTCTTCAGGCAGGCGTTCCTTCCTTGACTGGCTGTCTGAGAGGATTTTTTTTAAAAATGGATTGTTGTGCCTTGTTGCTTTCAATCTGCTTTTGTTGTTGATTTTTGCTGACTGTTTTTAGTGTGGTTTTGTTTGATTCTTTTGTAATATTTGTATTCTTAATCTTTTGAGCTTTTAAAGATTGTCTTTTCTTGATGTAAGTTTCCTTGGGTCCTTTTTTTAAGGAGCAAGTCAGGGTAAAAATATTTTAAATGAATAAATAACCTTTTTGCAAGCCGTCACTGCAAAAAGTCAGTTAAGATTAGAACTTCACAATGAAAAGGGAGTTAATGAGCTGAAATGCTTTCAGCTTTGGGGCACAGCAGTCTGAAGGTTGCCATTGGGGAACCTCTTCTGACTGAATGTCAATCTTAAAATATTTGGCTTTCCTGGTGGCGGTGGGATTGAGGGTGGAAGTCTGCTAGACTTTGAAGTTCTGTGCAATTGACTAAATTACTACTGTTCCAACCTCTATCTTGTGGCCCCTCTAGACTTCTTGCTACCAACATGAATCTGACCCAACTCCAGGAGGCAGTGGAAGACAGCATGCTCTGGTCCATGGGGTGACAAAGAGTCGGACACGACTAAACAGCAACAGACTTCTTGGGAGCAGTCCACATGGAGTCATTGTACGGGGGGTGGGGGGGAGGTCACACCTTCTAGATACACTTTTTTTTGGTTCTGCTTTCCATGTGGGAAATATAAAACAGAGTCGCTGGCTTGCGATCAAGAGAGGCTTTCCCTTGCATGTTCTGGGCAGAAAATTGGAGAGAAGGGCATGTGTGTCTGTTGTGAATGCACTTTTGCCTCTAGACCAAGCTTAGCAGGAGACGGTCTGCTTGCTTTGAAGAAAGGATGAGAACTCTCTAGCCAGCACGAGAAAGNCGCCCAGCCCGTCACCCCCCCCCCCCGGCAAGGGGAAGGCTTTCCAACTCCTTGCAGGGGTGAAGGAGGCGAGGATGTCTGTTGTTGCCTTAGCTTCCTCTGTCTGCAGAAAACCCGACGCGATGCATGAAACCTAAGTGCATTTCTCCCCTTTTTTCACTTTGGTCAGCCAAACCGGAAGAAGGAAAGGCAGCCGCCGAGGTTGCAACCGCAAACGACGTCACAGCCCCGCCTAGCAAGGAGCTTCCGCCGAGCCCGGAGAAGAAAGCCAAGGTGAGGGTCGTCCGGCGTTTTTAATTCTCTGGCTTTGCAGGTTTTGTTTCTTTGGTGCTTGCTTTTTCCCCCCCTCCTTTGCTTTGTCGGCCATCAAGAAGTTCTGTTCTCTGAAGCGCCTGGTCATCAAGCTTGATTCCTTGGCGTGTAAGGATGGTCGTCCCTTCCTCCTGGACCCCCTGCTCCATGCCATCTGGGAGGACATCGCCTCCCCCCGGGGGGATTCTTCGGCATTTTGCCCAAATACCCACTGGTAACCCCCCAAAAATGCTGAGGTGCAACTAGCTTTCGAGGGAATGGTGTCGTGCTCCGGTTTTGTCCCATCCCTGGGGGGGGAGAGCTTTTGACACCCTTTCCCCTGGGATTTGGGGTTTCTTGTTTAGATTGTGGTTGAAAACAAAACTGAAGAGGAAGAACAAGGAAAGTTAATATTGTTAAAAACAGGCCTCCTGTTTTTTGTCACTGGTTTCCAGCTGATGTGGGGAGAGGGCCCCCCATCTTTCCACTGTGACAATTCTTTGCTTGCACTCAGAGAACGGAACGATGTGACCTTTCTCGTTCTTCCGAATTGACATGATTTTTTTGCACACGTTTTTGCTGCTCAGTGTTTGGTTTACATTGCGCTTCTTTTCTTTCTGTTACACGTGTGTGGTGTCTCTTTCTTTTGCTTGTGTGTACGTGTGTGTGTTTTGACACAAAGCCTTCAGCCTCCACTTCAGCAGCAAAACCTGCTGCAGCGAAAACCAAGCCTGTAGCTGCTGCCGCCTCCGCCACTGCCCCCGCCAAGCGGCCGGCGTCTGCCACACCCGGCCAAAACAAAAAAGCCACCAGCCCTCCTGCAGGCCCGGCTGCAGCCACAACTACCCCCAAGCGCCCGGCGACCAGCACGACACGGCCCTCCACCTTAACTCCTAAGGACACTAAACCAAAGGTAAGGCGTGTTCGTGCCGGCTGGAAGTTCCAAGGTCTTGTTGGTGAGAACGGACGCAACCTTGGCGCCAGCTCATTGTTTGGAGGGCACCAAGTCAACACCTGCCTCGCCCTTCCCTCTGTCAGTTGCCATCACCATTCTGCTGTGCAACCCACTTCTTCCCCTGGTGCTACTTCAGGTGATTCCAGAAAAGCACACGGTCTGCTTTTCAAGAGGATCCCACCTGAGCACCAGTTCTCTTAAGTGAGGGAGCTGCACATTTAAAACCTTACTTTTGTTCAGGGAGAGAGAAAAGAACTTCTGTAGAGAAAGGTAGTGTGTCAGGAATAAAAGTATCTATGCTAGCTTCCCTGACTTCCTAGCTTTCCTCTTGCAAGGTGTGTGTGGGAGAGAGAGAGAGAGAGAGATTGAGAGTGAGAATAGATGAGGACTCCGTCCACTCACATGCTGTTCAAGGCTCCAGACAAGAGGCATCCTGTCACTGTCAGCTTTAGGAGCCCCCATTTTGAGCCTGCAAACCTCAAGAGTAGCTAAAGTGAGATTTTGTTAAGAACAGTGAGTTGCGTTTACCCAACACACTGCACATGTTATTAGAACCAACTGCAGCTAAGAATGTGGTGGAATTCAGAAAGAGGACTTCAATCCTGGGGAATGTGTGTTGAAGCCAGTTCAGCTTATGAACACATATGCTTGGTTTCTTGAAAGGCTCAGATCTCGGCATCTTAGCCTGTAAAAGCTGCTCCTTCACTTTACAACTCTTCCAGTGTTCCCGGCTGGACGTTGTGGTGCCCCCCCAAAAAAAAGCCTTTGCAAACTCATGTTAAGAAGTATGGCTTTCCGTGTCCCATGAGATGGACTCATATTTGCTTGCCACCTTTGGACTACAAGCAAGACAGGGTTCCCAGCCCTCCTCCGCCACTTGCGTGAGACTGGACGGATGGTGGAGCATCTCATTAAGGACAGAAATGGCAGGGAGTGAGGTTCCTGGGCAGACGCCACTCCTGCTTGCAGGTTGATGGGAATGCAGCCCGTTGGGGGGAAAAACCTCAGCTTGGCTCCCAGTGCCCATAGTTACCAGCCCTTGCTTATCAAAATGCCGACACCTCTTATAATTGACTTTGTTTGTAGGGGAACCAAATGGGCAGGAGGAGCGTAGACCTGCTTTCAAGTCTTAGCCAGGAAGGGCCGTTTCATCTCGGAACATGTCAACAACTTTAAATAGGTGCTGAGCGATCAGAGGGAGACTTTTAATAGTCACAGATGGGAAAGAAACCCATAAAATAATAAATCAATCCCACGCCCCCCACCCTTGAGGTATCCCTAGGACAACGACGCCACCACAATGCCTTCCTGGAAAGGGTTTTCTCTCCCCCCCCCTTTCTTCCCCTGCTGCGTCAGCTGTTCCTAGATTGATCCGCCTCCCAGATGGTCTCGGACAAATGCCATCTCTAAGCCTGCAGCCTGCGGAGCAATTTTCTCTTTCTGCCTGTAATTAAAGAGCTTCCTCTTGGCAGAGGAGGGCGGGAATGATTCGAATGAACCAAGACCTTTAAAAAAAAAAGAGAGAGAGAGAGAAAAGCCAGAGAACTAAAACAGAAATTAAATGAATTTAAAAATTGGCACTTCATTTCGCAGTGCTCCCCCTTAGCCTGTGCGGTTCATTGCCTGTGTGCTTTCATGCTGAACTTTTCTGTTGTCTTGAGGATAAAGTCCCCACCCCGTCACCCATGTGGCTTAATTGCTGGTGGAGGAGAAGAGGTCCCTGTGAAGGTAGAGGCAACACATTCGGGTTTGGGGTGAGGGAGGAGAGCCAGTTCGGCAGGAATTTAGGCCCTGGATACTGCAATGCTGTTTTTTTTCTTTCCAAAAAAAAATCTATCTAGTGCTGTTTTCCCCAACCAAACAACCGCTCTGGGTGGGCACAATGGGACTTGTAGTCCAGCCTCCCTGGAAGGCACCAGGTTCGAGAAAGTGGATGTAAGAAATATTTGTGAACCCTGTATGTGTGTGTGGGTCTTACATGTCTATTTCTGTCTCCTCTGCGGAGAGAAAACAAATGAGCCCTCATTCATACTGTTGCTGCTGCTTTCTGGTTTAACGCAGACCCAATTAAGATATTAAAGGTTGGCCCATGGATCCAGCTTCCTGCTCCTTTGCTTAACACCCAGACTCAAGGAGCAACGAGAGTACAACGACCTGCTTGACGATGTTGTGTTGGGCGGGTCTCCATGTTTCTCCGGATCTCCAAGCCACCTGCTCCAGCTTTTGAGTTGCCCACGGACTCTGCTCTCTGATCTTTTCCCGAACGCACCTGGGCAGCTAGTGTTGGGGACAAGGAGAAGGGCTTCTTCGGGAAAATTGTGGGAATGCGGAGGTCCCTGTAGACTGCTTGATCTGTAGAGCCGCCGCCCCCCCTCGTGGACAGCTGGAGAGAGAAGGTGGTGTGCCTGGACTTCCCTTAGCAGGGTGGGGTGGGCAACAACCGTTTTGTTTTAAGCACATGACCATAGGATAGAGAAAGACGGTGGGTTGTTGTTGTTTTTTCATCATAAGAGGAGAAGGCAAAGGAACACTGTCTGAAATGGGTGCTTTTCCTTATTAGGGGACGGAAGTAAAAAGCCCGGATAAGCGGACCTCCCCTTCGAAGGCACCGTCCGCTACAACCCCTCGTCCGAGTACAAAAAGCAGTCCTGCCACCCCCAGGCCGTCCACAGCACAGACGAGCACCCTCGCCTCGAGCCCCCGGAGCACGGCCACCTCCCCGCCCAAGAGGCCTTCCAGTGAGTATTCCTGCGTTCCGCAGCCATGCCAGAGACGGATCCTGACTGTTCGTTTTGCCTTTTCCAGAGCTTTTCCGTGGGGCAGAGGCAACCCCAAAAGGGAGCAGCAGTTTAAGCAGGGGAAAGTGTTTCATAGGGGCTGGGCCTGGAAGAGTCCCTTTTTTCAAGCTGCAGTCGTCTCCCCCCCCCCCCAACCACACAGGTTGGAGAAGTGAAGCCCCCTAAAATGTTACTTTTCTAGTCTCTGGGCATAAGCTTTGTGAAATGTGTGGAATGCATTCAGTCTTCAGTGGAGAAAGCTTCCTCTCTGTTCCCGTGGGAAGCAGGAGCAGAAGAAAATAAACACATAGGGAGCAGTTTACTTAAGCAGTGTTTTTAAGCATGGCCTGGCCTTGCGAAGGTCTCGGCGCCGGGCCCGTGCGGATCTATGGAGACCTTCCTCCTCTGAGTTTCATATCACTCTCAATGCAGGGTTTTAAAAACTCTACGTGTCCCTGGTTATGCATAAGAATAAAATTCCTGTCGCTTAAAGATGGAGTAGGTGTGAAATGGCACTGGACGCTCTTTGTGTGGGTCAAGCACAGGCAGACAACCTTATCAGTCAGAAACAAAAGAAAAATAAAGAATACCAAAAACATTGTGGGACCTTAAAAGGACCTTTAAGAAGCCAGAATGTTTTTGTTTTTAGCATTTGTCCTTTTTCTGTGCCTGATATGCTCGCCCAGACTAACATGACTACCTCTTCTAAAGCTGCTGCATCGACAACAGCAAGCGGTCTCATATTCTGATCATGTATCTTGACCGCTATCTGTATAAATTTTTAATCTTGAGAGGCTGTGAAGTCTCGAAAGGGCCTAGGAGGTAAGAGTACCACCCTTTATGGCGGAGGCCGTGTATGTACCCGTATAAGAGGGGAACTTGTGATGGTTGAGATCTCGCAAGGCGAGCTTGTTTAGAGGTGGCGTCTGAAGGCAAAGCCGCTGAGGAGGCAAGAGCTTGGCCCCAGGGAGGCCCGGCCGAGGCTCATCGGGTTGTCTTTTCTGTCAAGCAGCTATCAAGACCGACGCGAAGGCCGCCGACGTCAAGAAGACCCTTGCAAAATCGCCATCAGGTAATTCGCCCTCCTCCTCTGTGCGAAGAAGCCCAGGGGCGGTCGTCTTTGCCTGGCCGCTTCCTTCCCCGGCCCGTCGCCTTGACCTCTGCCTCCTCTTTCGCAGCGGAAGCCAGCCGCCCAAAGAGTGCCCCCGCCTCCACCACTCCTTCCCCAGCCCCGCCCGGAGCTGCGGCTGCTCCCGCCAGCCGGCCCAAACCCAAGCCAGCGGTGCCCAAAGCCTCCGGGGCCGCGAGCGCGACCGCCGCCGATGCCAAGAAGACCTCCGCCCTCAAGACGGCGCCCAAGACCAGTCCTGTTCCCAAACCCTCCCGGCCTCCGACCAGCGTCTCTGCCCCTGACCTGAAGAATGTCCGCTCCAAGATCGGGTCCACCGACAACATCAAGTACCAGCCTGGGGGAGGAAAGGTAAATCTCTCGGGCTGGGGAACTGCCCCCCCCTCGGGGCTGTGGGGGGCAGCTGCGTTCCTGCCGCTGAGCCCAGCTGAGCGGCCTGGTTTTGGTTCTCTGTGTGGCTGAGAAATGGAGGCTTCTGGTCTGGGAAGGAGGGACCGGACCAGGGTCTGGTTGAAGGCATCGCCCGCTGACGGCCCAGGGAAGTCCTCCTGCACCAGCCTCTTTGCTGAGAACTCCAGAGGAGGCAGCCCCTTTCTTGAGGAAAGGACTTGAGCCTTTTTGTTGGCGTGAGCCAGGCAGCAGGTGCTCCTTGCCCCACCTGGGTGCCCTTGGGTTGGGTGGAGCCATAACTCCATGGATATCAGTGAAGGGGGAGGATGGGACAGGCGTGCCAGGGCATCCTGTTGGGAAACACACTGCAGCCCAGGAGGCTTTTAGGGGGTGGGAAGAGGGAGGACCACCTGTTGCCATGCTTGTGTGGCGCCTCCTTTGGGCCATGTTCGTGGTCCTGCGCCCGCCCCCCCAGGCCATCCCAGAGTGTCCCTGTGCAGAGGGCACTGACCTCCCTGTGAAAGTGTGAGCTGGGGGTGGGGGGGCTCCTCTGTAGAGAGGGTGCTGTGCCATTAACTGCCCTCCCATGAGTCCCCAGCTTGCTCATGGTTTCTCCCGAGCCGGGTCGAGGACCAACAGGAACAGTTAAGCAGGTTCCCTACAGAGTGACTCTCGTAAGGGGAACCTTAAGAATCCCAAGCACCGTCTTGCCTCCGTTTGGCTTGGCCTGATGTCCCCTGCCCAAGGAGAACTAAGCTGAGCACCCTGACAGCTTTTTTTAAAGTGTTTGTGCATACCGTAGGACAGAAACCTCAGAAGCTTTCTCTCTCATGTTCAATCTGCATATGAAACAAATTTATTGCATTTGTAGCCCTCTTCATCCCTGCGCACAGTGGTGTGTGTGGCTCTCCTCTGTAGGCCTTGGGAACACCAGCATGCCTTACAGAGCTCTGAAATCCCCACCTGGTGGGAGAGAGGTGTGGATCCTTGACCCCTGGCTCCCCTCTCTTCGATGCCGGGTCCAGTCATCCTAGCAAGCGGCTGCAAAGGAGAGGTGAAGGGAGCAAGTCTACCATTTGCTGCACCGTCCATGCATGACGGGCACGAGGCTGCCTGGAATATCCTGTTGCCCTTGAGCTGCCTAGAAGGCTTACATTTCTCTCGATGGCAGTCCTTGCAGGAGTGTCAGGTTGAAGGCAGTGCACACTGATTGGCCAGGGAAGTTATCCTGCTCACAGCTCTTTGCCAAGAATGGTCCGTTTTCTATCACAGGACGCATGAGCAAGTGAACATCCTGATGGGTGTCAAATCTGTCTTTCTGACACTTCTGCATTTGTTAGGGTCTAAATGCTGTCTCTGACTGGGATAATAATTGCTAGAATAATGCTCGCTGACCATGATCTCCTCTTCATTTATTCATTCATTCATTCATTCAATTTCTGTACCGCCCATCTGGCTACCAAGGCCACTCTGGGCAGTTCACAACATAATAAAAACAGCACCTAACACTTTAAACAAATTCACAAGAAATCAAATTAAACGTATCAGTTAACCTGAACTAAGAAAAAGATAAAGGGAAAACAATAACGACAAGGTGGCAGAGCAGATAACTTAAGCGCTGAAAGCACCACATTTCTGACACATGTAAACCGGCAAGGGCTGCATTTGGGAAGAAAGGTGAAATAAACTGATATTTTGTAGAATAATGGAATTGGAAGGAGCCTATGAGGCCACCAAGCCCAACCACCTGCAAATCAGAGTTATATCTGACAGATAGTTGTCTAATTTTGAGTGCCTCCAGCATTAAAACACTCACCCCTTCCCAAGGTGATGGGTTCTCCTGTTGTACTTCTCTAACAGAGAGGGAATTTTTTCCCTGATGTTCCACTGAAATTTGACTTCCTGTACCTCCAGCCCATTATTATGTGCCTCGCACTCTGTGATGATATAAAACTGCCTTGTAGTGGCCCATTCCAAAGGTTTTTTTTAAAATGTCCTCTGAGCTTTCATTGAATCCCGTCTCTCTTCTACTGCTGTCAGGAGAGCAGTCCTGCTTCTGAGCTGAATGCAGGAATTGAGAGTCTCTTGCAGTCAAGGCAGCTCCTCTGGAGGGACAGAAGCAGGGCGAGAGCATCTTGGTAGAGCTCAGCGTTGCAGGGAGAAGGTCCCAGATGAAAACCCCGGCCTCCTCTCCGGGCACGGCTGGGAAAAGAAGCCCCGGAGAGCTGCGGACCAAGTGGGTTGCCCCGCCCCGGCTGGACCAGTCCTTTCTGCCTCCGTGGAAGGCGGCTGCCCCTGTTCCATTGACCACGCAGGTCCCCCTCTCCAGGACCTTAGAGCATGGGCCAGGTTTAACTCTGCTCTCTTGTTCAGCTTAGTATCTCTCCTAGAACCACTAAACTTAAACGTACAAAGCCTGCATGCACGCCAAGGCTCTCCTGACAGTCTTACCTATCATCAGTAGATATATTTATTTTTTGATTCCTTGCTGGTTCCGAGCAGGGTCCATCTGATACAATAACCTCCCGAGGTCATGGATTCCATGGTTGTAGTGCTCTAACAGTTTGGAAGTTTTTCTTCATATGATGCGTCCTGCCCTCTGAGATGCTAGAGAACAGATCCTGCTTCTCCTCTGTAGGACTCCCTTTTCAAGTTGTTGAAAAGTGCTCTCCTCTCTCCCCTCCGTCTTCTTTTCTCAAGGCTAAAGATGCCCCGTTCTTTCAGTTTTTGCTCACAGGGCTTGGTTTCCAGTCCCCTGATCATCATCCTTCTTGCCATTCTCTGAACCTGCTCCAGTTTATCGGCATCCTTCTTCAAGTGCGATGTCCAGAACTGGACCCAGGACTCCAGAGGAGGCCTAACCAGTGTTGAATATGGGTCGTGTGGGGTGTCTAGTACCTCATTGGGATTTGGAGACTCTATTTCTGTCCATGCAGCCTATAATCACATTGGCCTTTTCTGCAGCCACATGGCACGGTTGGCTCATCTTCCACTTGTGATCTACAACTATTCCAAGACCCTTCTGGCTCGTAGCATTCCTGAGCCAAGTATCCTCCATTTTGTAACTGCATTTGTCCCCCCCCCCAGTGTAGAACTTTGCGCTTACCCCTCTTCCATGTCATCCTGTCATTTTCAGCCCCGTGTTCGAGCCTCTCTGAGTACAATTTCTACTTTCCCAGCTCTTCCCCCCCCCCCCCCCGCACCCCTTGGGTGTTCAGGGGCCGGCATTTCTCCCAAGCCCCTGGATTCCCATTTTTGTGTAAAAGGAGCCACAAGAGCGGAACGGGGCCGAAGGAAAAGGGGGTGAAGACTCGACCTCACGGAAGCGAGGGGTGGGAGAGTTGGGGTGGGTGGACATGATCGGCCTTATGTGTCAGCAGCACCCATCCTTTGCCCAACCTGAAATCCAAATAATCTCCTGACTGGTCAACCTCTATTATATATATTTTAAAAAGTGTTTTTCAGTGGAATCTCTTTTTATGACCTATAGGTTTTTCTCCCATTCGTCATCCACTCAGGCCCGGTTTCCCTTTCCCTGGGGTTTGTGAGCGTTCCAGCTCCATGTGGTCTTGTGTTGAGGGACTCTTAACTTAATGAGAAAGGGCAGTGCTTTTCCTTCCCGAGAATCTCTCAGACATCCGAGGGGTAAAGTGTCCGTCCTTCGGCATTTTCTGCTGGGCCTCCCATCTTTTTTTTTTCTTTTTTTTTTTTTGGGTGAGCATACAGGCAGCCTGTCCTCTTCATGGCTTCCGGTTCCATGTTTCTTAGCCTTGGGTCTCCAAGAGTTCTAGAACTACAGCTCTCAGGACAGCCTGTCCTCTTCATGGCTTCCGGTTCCATGTTTCCCAGCCTTGGGTCTCCAAGAATTCTAGAACTACAACTCCCAGGAACCTCGACCAGCACGGCTAGTGGAGAAGGCTTCCGAGAGTTTTAGTCCAAGAATCTCTGGGTGACACCCAAGGTCAGGAATCCTGGGGCGGTTTGCTCCAGAGTGCCAGGATTCAGCAGAAGGCTTCCGAGAGTTTTAGTCCAAGAACCTCTGGGTGACACCCAAGATCAGGAATCCTGGGGCGGTTTGCTCCAAAGCGCCAGGATTCAGCGGCCGTTGCCTTTGGAGGCTTCCCGTTCCTGGGTTTGTAAAGCACAGACCCCAAGATTAAACTCCAGAGGTGACCGTGTACGTGACGGCACAGGAAGCCTTCTCTTACGATGATGATGATAATGGATCAGGGTTTGACAAACCCGGCAGATAAGTGGAAAGGTTAGGGCTGCTCTGGAAGTGAATTCTTCCTTTCCATTAACGGTGGTTCTCAGGATGGGCATCAGAACATGTCAGGGTCATGAGAGGAGGGGGGCCATCAGGGTGGTGAGGATGATGGAGGTTAAAAAGGGGCAGTCCTGCTCGGATCACGGAATGCCAGACCTAATAGTCTGTTCGATGGCAGGTTTCAGAAAAAGTTACATTTTCTGCGGCAGCTCCCGGAATGCCCCAGCCGGTATGGGAGATTCTGGGAATTTTAAACACTCCCTTCCCCCCAAAAATGTAACTTTTCAAGAGTTCTGCCCAGGTTCTTTTGTACCTACAGGCCTTTCCATGAGTTTGGCTTTGAACCCAGGTCTCCTCCCTCTGACCCCCGTGGAGTCAGGTAGCCAAGCCAGCCCTTTGCTCCCGAGTGTCCCCAGCCCTGGGTCCCTGCCTCGCGTCTTTCCAAAGGTTCCCCACCAGCTTGTCTGAGCCCGTGTGAAACATCCCCAGTTGTGTGTTCTGACATCCAGCTGCCTTTCCTGTCATTTTGCTGCTGCTGCTGCTGCTTTATTTTTTTATTTCTTTATTTATTTTTAAACTCTCATGATGTGAAAGTCACCCTCCATTTGTCTCCATTTAGGCAAAAGTAGAGAGAAAGGCTGAGTCAGCCGGGGCTGCCCGAAAGCCTGAACTCAATGCAGTCTCTAAAACGGCTACCACTAAAACAAAAGAGGGGTCCCAAAAGCAGCCCAATGGGAAAGTGAGTCCTCTTTTAGCCTTCTATCACTTGGGAGAGGAAAGGACGAACTCTTCTGCTGTGTTGATATGATTTTTCTCCACTCCACCTTGGGTCACTTTCCCCCCCCTCACCCCTCCTTGACTTTCTATGCCTTTTTTTTTCCTGGTCCCCGGCACACTCTTCCCAGGGGGGCCCTTCCCTCTTTCTGCACGCCACCACCTTACGCTTTGTGTCTCCTGTTCTGCCGCTGGGGGAGCTGCCCCGTAGAGTGTATTTTTCTTCTAACAGGCCTTGAAGCAGAGGTCCAAACCGCTTTGCTTTGGGAGTGACCGGAGGGTGCTTGCCGAGAGACGAACCAACTGGGGTGATGAGGGGGCAGCGGCTTGGAACCGTCTGTGCGGGCAGGGATGATGGCGAGCGAGCTTCTTTCCTTTTCCCGAGCCCCAAAGAACCCCAGCATCCTCCCCTCCTCCCAGTTAGCCTTCCTCCCTGACCCCCCCTCCCAAAGAAACATCGGGGCCTCTTCTGTGCAGCCCCTCCACGGAGTGCTTGAGAAATGACTCTTGAAGGGAGGGGCTTGTTAGGCCGCGCACTGTCGTTTCTGCACATCTGGGGGAGGAGGAGGCCTGTCCCTGGGCGTAGCGAGGTGTGACTCGGGACTGTATGTGCTCCCGTCCGAAGGAGAGCGTCCGCTCGGCTTCCTCCCCCAGCCCCCTCGGTTGAAGACAAAGGACAGTTTTTCATCTAGTCAGGCCGGGATGTCTTCGGCCCTCCAGAGGTTGATGAACTACTGTCCCCATCCTCCCCAGCCTTGGGGGCAGGGCTGACTGAAGCTGACGGGAGATGGAGTTTTAACAGCCTTCACCCGACTCTGATGCAGAGAAAGGATCAGCTGCAGGAGTCCTCCCTCCCCCCACCTCCAGTGTCAGGCAGAATGTGGGAATGATATTCCGTGTTCGGATTGTGTGTTTCGGGATTCCTCGGGCGGGGGTCGGGGGGGTTCTGGGATTTCCCCACCTCCTGTGAGTGCTGTTTCCGAGCTCTTGTCTGCATATCTAAGGGGGCAACTCCGCGACCCATTGGACCTTAAGCCTCAGGGATATCCTTCTTGCCCCAGACCCAGGAAGGCAGACGCTCCAGGCAGAAGCTTCCTTACTGGTGGGGTCCCCTGCCCACTTCCTCCCGTGCCTGTGAGGGGGGCCCGCATCCTGCCCTTGGAGTAGACGGTGTGCCCCATGGTTGTCAGTGAAGATCGCCACCTCCAAAGCTGCCCTAATGGGTCAGAGGCACGCCCTGTGGCAGGCAGGATGGGAGAGGGTCGCTGTCCCCACCCCGGTGTCGGCAGGAGCCGAGGGTTCCTCTCTTGCCACCGACGGCCTTGGCGCTTCGTCAGCTCCTCTTGGCCGTTCCAACACAGCCGTTTTTGTGAGACTCTAATGGGCTCTGCGGCTCGTTCCAGCTTGTCCAGAACACAGACAATGCCTCTGTTTTGCTGGCATGGAAAGCTGGCCCTCATTAAGTTGAACTTTGCTAGTTTGTCAGGAAGGGGGTGCAGCCTCTGCCAGGGTGCCAAGGCTTTGTTGCTCTGCTTCGGGCAGGCCGAGTCCCTGCGGGGAGGTTTGCCAGATGGGGGCAAAAGTTTGAGGGTGGAGGTCTTGAGGGGGGAAAAAGAGGCAGATGGCCAGGGACAAGTCCCCATCATGGTTCTCACCCATGCTAGTAAAACATGGACCTTTTCTCTCCCTCTCCTTCCCCTACCTCCTGCGTTGTGTTGTGCATGGCTGACCAATGGCCTTTATAGTTCCCCCCGAAGGGGGTCCTACCTCCTCCCCCCCCCCTCTGTGAGTCATCAGGCCTTTCCAGACTTTTTGGGACTGTTCACTCCCAAAGTCCCCCCCCCCGGACCCCCATCTTGAGTGGAGGGGGGCCTGAACTGTAGACCTGATAAGTTGCTTTTCCAAGCTCTGGGTTCGTCCTACCATTGTTCCCCAAGCAATCTGGATGTGATAAAAGTTTTGGGAACAACTGGGGGGGGGGCTCCCTTCCCTCTCTTCCCCCTGCAGCCCCCTCAGGAGGCTTCGCCCACAGTTGGGCTCCAAACAGTCTGTTCTCTCTTGGAGGCACGAAGGGAGAAGCGGCTGCTGTCCTTCCGCCTCGTCCTTCCTGCTTCGGTGGAAAGGGGTCACGGGGCCCCTCCGCCAACTGTGTGGGCACCCAGGCCAGCTGGCTGCCCCTCCACACTTACGTTCCAGAGGGGTAGCCGTAGAAAAAGAAGGCCGCGCAGCACCTTAAAAGCTGCCACTTTCATTGTGGCAGTAGCTCAGAAGGCCTTTTGTTTCTCTTCAAGTAAGGATAATTAAAGGAGGGAGAAACTAGAAACAAAATATTTCCAAGTTGCACAGCCAAATGGTAAAACTGAACCTGTTCCAGCCAAATGCAGGAAAGGTTTGAACAGCAGTTGCTGGGTTAAAACAGCCGCCCGGGCCTTGCCTGGTCCCTTCTTACCCAGGAAGCAAGAAAAGCCAAGCCAAGCAGAAGCCACCACGCTAGCAAGGGGCTTTTCCTTAAGAAATGCTTGGAAACTGGTTTGTGAGATGTGTCCCCCACCACCACCACCACCACTGCTGGCAGCGTCTTGCAAGATCGTTGGTCGTACCGAGAGAGATGAGTGGCTCTTCCGTGTTGTTTTCTCCCACCACCACCCCGCTGTAAGAGAGGCTCCCTGTGGTGGATCTTGGCCTCGTCTGATAAAGACTTCTGCCTGTCTGCCTGCCGAGGCGGGAGTGTGGACTTGAGTCAACCTGTAGTTCAGTCATGACCCCTTAGTCATTGCACGCCGGTGCTCTGACTGAACCTGTCAGTGGACTGTCGCAAGGTTGGTGAAGTCGGCCACGCACGATCGAAGCCACCTTGTCTTGAGGTAGTCAGGTTAGGAGTTACACCGTGCCTTCCTGTTGGAGCGCCTGAGGCCAGGAGATGCAGGACGCTGTGCCCACACGCGTGTTTCACGGGCGTTGTGCTCTTCCTCCACCCCGCTGCCTCTGGGTGATCACGTCCTCGCCGGCAGCCGTGTGCTCTTTTCTCAGATGAGGCCGGCCAAGGAGGCCCACGGCGGCGCCTTGGATCGCCCGGAGGAGGCAGGGAATGGAAGTGTGCAGACACCTGCAGGACCCACCCGTGCAGGCACCGTGCTGAACCGCAGTTTGTGTGCCCGTCTCTAGATGAAACTACTTCCCTTTAGGGGGTGTCCTTGCAAGAGAGAGCCTCCCTCTGTGTGCGTGTGCGTGTGCTGGCTTGGAAGGCACGCGGTGGGGTTTGCCTCGGCGCCCTTGGCCCTTACCCCATTTGCTTAGCTGCCTGGTTGGTTCCTTTGCTTCCTCTTGTCCCTCTTTCTCTGTGTCCCTCCCTTGTCCGTGTTTGTTCACGCTTCGTCCTCGGAGTCAGGTTCGAGTTCTAACACACGCTCTCTTGTCTGTCCTCTGCTCCTCCTCCTCCTCCTCCTCCACCGCGGCCGCTGTGTCGGAGTGTTGCTCCCTGGAGAGAGAGAGAGTTCTAACCATCGCTCTTCCCTTGTGTTGTTCTTTCCATCTCTGCGACGCTCCAGGTCCAGATAGTCTCCAAAAAAGCCAACTACAGCCACGTGCAGTCCAAGTGTGGTTCCAAAGACAATATTAAGCATGTCCCTGGAGGTGGGAATGTAAGTATCAGGGGCTCTGGACAACTGTCTGTTTCTACTAACGCACTCCTCCTCCTCCTCCTTCTCCTCCTTCTGGTTGTGTCTGTGTATCTCTCTCTGTATGTGTGCATGTATGTGGTCTTTCTCCCCCCCCCTCCAACCAGAGCATTTCCATGGGATTCCTTCCTTGATCTTTAAATTAAAAAACACACACACATACACACATATGAAAGAGAATCACACTAGAAGTAAGGGGTGGTTGGGACCCTTGTACCCTGAATGACAGCTGGGTGTGTTGAAGAGCATGAGACACTTTGCACACTTGTTAAAAAGCAGCCGTTGGTGGTGAACAGTGGAGCTTTTGTGAGCCGTGGGGACATTTTGAGGACAACTGTGATGTAATGTGAGAGGTGTCACCGTCTTTCTCTGTGACACAGGGTGGACCCAAGGGTACACGCAGTGTTCCAAATCGGGGTCCGTTTCTCTCTCTCTCTCTCTTCTCCTCCTCCTCCTCTTCTTCTTCAGATTGGAAGCTGTGGCATCTGGAGGTTTGTTGCAGGCTAAGATTCCTACGTGTGGACTCTTGAACCTGTTAGCTTACATGGTGCTCCTCTGGAGCGGGCATAGGTGTGGACTGGAATCCTTTACCTTGGCCTCTTCTTGGTGAATGAAAAACTGGCTACCGCCAGGCCCTGCTTGCCAGCTGCCCATATTTATGGCATCCTTTCTTTTCCTTAAGCAACACCTTCCAGGAAAGCTTCGGGGGACTGAAAGCTGAGCACCTTCTGGGAGTCCCTTGCCGGCCTTCTCTTTGACTTTTCAAAACCCAAATAGCGCTTTTCTACAGCGGGCTTGCCAGTGTTTAATATACTGCTTTCATACATCAGTTTAGTCTACTTTGGGGTGCAATGTTTTAACTACAGTTTTTTAAACAATAAAAATGGAAAGATTTTATTTGGCCCTCTTGTTCTGGTGCTGTCCAGTAGACAGGTACTTAGCGAAGCATGAAAAGGAATAGAAATGCGGAAGGGTAACATGTTAGCCGTCAGGGTCCGTCCAGTGAGCAGAAGAGAGGTGCTTTTTTTAACCGGCCGTGGCATCCATCACGTCCTCTTGGCCCCATGCCGAGCTGTGTCATGAGGAGAAGCCCGAGTGCCCCCCCCCGCCCGCCACCCCAGTATCCAGATGATCCAGGTCTTGACTTGGTACCAACCAGTGACAGAGAGGGATAGGCACCGTGGCAAAATGTTCCGCCTGCAATACAAAGTCTACTTCCCTGAGCGGGACATCCTTTATGGAGGAAATGGTCTCCAGTGCCATGGTGTTTTTCCAACTCCTGCTCAAGGTCGGAGCTTGGCTGGAAGCTTTCAGCGTTTATTTTCTGGGGTTTCGCGACATCTTTTTGCCTCTTTAGTGGCAAAACTGAGATAGAAAAAGTGGAAGAATAGGACGTTCTCTGGGAGGTGCCTTCCTGTCTCCTTTTCTTGGCTTCTTAGTTCTTGGATCTTGGCAGGGGTTGACCATGGCATTGCAGATTCCACAGGGGAATTCAGACCAAAAGGGCATGGCAAGAACTTGTGGCAGGATGCCTTATAAACTCAAGAGGTTTACTGAATTCCATAGGCCACACGTTTGTACGGACTTGTCTTGTATTTGTCTTTTGAAATGGAAAGAGAAGGCAGGCAGGCTGGCTCGTAACTTAGTGTGCACCCCAGCAAACGTGTGGTTTTTGTGTGTGCCAGGGAACCTTTATATTCTGTGTGGAATCAGTCATGTGAACTCCCCTTTATTTTGCCGTCTGTGTGAACCATATACAGACCACCGGATATTCTGGTGACTAGACACCAGACACTATCTCCTCAGTGAAACCCCAGTTTGATAGATCGATGGAAGACTCTGTCTTTTGTGCTAAAATAAATGAATGTCAAAACCTAATGTGGCTTGGCAAGAAAAGTTGGGCCCTGTAGCCTGTATCAATCATGGCAAATTTGCATCGCTCCTCTTAATTTGCATGACTCATTTTGGTGCCCTCCCCTTCACCGATGTTTTGCATAATTTAGATTTTGTTAGGGCACTTAAGGTTGCTGCTGACAGACCTATCCATGCGGGAGTGGCTCATGTACTCCCAGGCCTAGCTTGACGCTCATGAGGTCTAGAATACTTGCTCTTTTCCTAGAATGGAAAGCTGACATGCTCAGGCAGTGAAGACCTGCAGTTGTGGTTCAGTGGAGTTTGTCTGTACGTCTTCTCCCTCTGCGTAGCTTTCGGACACATCTAATAGTAACCCTTGTGGCACTAAAGAGATATGGGAGTCTTTCAGCTCCGTGGCTGGTTTCTGAAGATAGCTTGTTTTTGAAAAGGAAGACGCTGTGCGCTTAAGGTGCTCCTCCTCTACTCATAAATAGTGAGATGTCTGTTGATTTGCCGTGATTTCTGCAGAGTTTCTCAGGGGAGAGCATGGAGCAAAGGATTTCTGCTGGGACCCATTAATCAGTGTGAAGCTTGAACGCCATGTTTACAGGCCGCTGGGGTGAGATTCCTTTTGCATTTGGCTTCAGGGAAAGTCTTGGGAGCTCAGGGGAAGAGACTTCGTGGTCCGCACTGTGAGGTTGGCCCACGTTGTGCTTCACATGGCAGGCAATATCCCCTTGGCTTTGACGGTGTTGATGAGCCTCCCCTTGTGTTGAAGCGCCTGCCTGGTTTCAGAGGCGAGAAATGCATTCCCTCTTCGGCTGCCTTTTATAAAAACCATGCTTTTTCTCTGACACAAGAGAAGGAGGGAGTTCCCTTCCTGGTTTTTGCCTGATTAGGAGTAAACTGTGCTTTTAGATCGTGGGTCGGGGGCAGGAGCAGGTTCCTTGGGCACCTGTAAAAGGGACGATAGCGCTGCTTTCCTCTGGTGAGTGTTCGTGTGCTTTCACGATCCACTCGGGCTTTGCAGTGTGGTTTGAACTGCTGAGCCAGTCCTGCGGAACTGAAAATAGGCTACACCAAAGGTGTTGATTTATGTTGTGCATCATTTTTAATAGGTTTGTGCCTTGGAAGGCAAGTGGTGGGAAGGCGAGATCCATGGGTTGGGCCCAGTTAGCTAGTGCTTTTCCGTGCAAAAAACTTTTCTAGCCGTGGTGCCAGCCTGCGAGCCCTTTGCCGATCAGGTTTAAGAGCTTTCTCGGAACTGTCAACCTGGAGCGTCCGTAGAACCAGAAAGGATGCAGAATCTCGCTCTTAACTCTGGTCTGCAAAGGTGGGCCATTGGAGTGGAGCTTTTTTTGAATCTTTTGGTGGAAAGGAGCTTCCGTATATGGAAAAAAAATACCCTTTCTTTTCTGAGCTTCTTTGCACACTTTTCTGTGGGTAGACTTTTCTTTTCTTCTTTGACCTGTGAAGCTCTCTGCCTTTCTCTCTTGCAACAACAACTGTAACAGAAAGAGCTGAACTGCTTGCAAAGGTGGTGGTGCTCCAGTCATATGTGCTGAATCTGACCCTGTCGCCTCCATCTTTCCTGTCCGGTTCCTTCTTTCCTTACCTGGAGCCTCAGCGCTTAGTCCAGAGAATAAAGTGCTTGTTGTTTTCAGGTTCCAAATGCCCCCAAACTGGCTTCGGGCAACCACTCCCAGCCGTCCACCGCCCCCAGACCCGGCCAGGGCAGTACCAATGTGAGTAAATCTACCGCAGTGGCCAGCTTGGCCTTTGACATGACGGGGTTCTTCACCCTTTTTCCAGTTTCATGGGACTTGGGAAGCCTGCCACCCTCCCCGGGCACCCCTGGGCAGTTTTCAGCAGTGGCCGTTGAGCCGTTCCTTGAGCCATTGGTCCAGCCGGCCCCACAAGACAGCCTTGTATACCTAACTTGTGGCTGGTGGGGCAAAGGGGCAACAGGTAGCTGCTGGCACCGTCTTCCATGGCGCACGGACAAGATGTGCACCCAAACCTGGGTTGCTGTTCAAGGAAAGAAATAGCTAAGTCTCCCTGCTCTCTGGTGGGCCACTCCTTGCTTTAAAGCCCTGCACTGTTTCCCAAAAGAGCTGTTGATGGCCGTAAAAATCTCCAGAGAAACAGGAACTGTTGGCCAGAGAAAGAGGGTGCATAAATTTAATCCATAGTGCCAGGTGCATCCCTGTCTTCAAGATCAGGCGGCCTTCGGTTGGGGGCAGAGATGAAAATGCCTTTGGGTGCTGAAGGATGCTGCCAGCCAGAGCCCGCAGGATACGTCTTGCAGAGTTTAGAAAAGTTAATTCTCTCACGACGGGTCCCAGAATCCCCTTGACAGGCATGGCCATTTAGGGCTTTTCTGAGCTCTGATCCCCAGCTTTCTTGTACTGAGTCCTCAGAAGCAGCCCTTGAATTGATTCTGCTTTTGCCTTGAGGTTTATTGGTCCGGCCACAACTAAAAACAAAAGGATGCCATTCTTCAGAGATTTAGTGTCATGATTTGCTGGCCATCTGGTTGCTGGCTGAAACATGAACATGTGAGGGAAGTGCTTGAGACAGCTGCTGACAAGAAGGGGTGGCTGGGCCAGGCTGGGGCCAGGTGGGTCTCCAGCATAAGGTCCCCATCGTCTCGGGCCCAGCCCAGCCCAGAGGTCTGGCGAAACCTCTTCCCTCCTTCCCTTTCGTTGCCCTGTCTCCCCTCATCATTGCCTCCCCCCCCCGCTCTCCCCAACCCTAATTCTTTGAAAGTTGGAATGCATTATGCAAAGTTGATTAGGTTTGCATAATATATTCCGAGCACATATATTCTGGACACTCGGCACAAAGATTTCTCCACCGTTGCCCAGAGGCTGGCGTTCTGTAAGAGCCATATCCTGGTGCCGGCTCTTGAGAATTTAATACACCTGGTCCCCGTCTAGTTATGGGGATGGTTTTAATGTGCTTTAAAAAAACCTGAAGACATTTTGTCAGATGCTTAGTGGTGCACCACGCAACAGCAGTTGATGCTATGGCTAGACACAGATCTGTCTTTTTTTTGGCTGCTCTCCTGCCTTGCATTTTATGCAGCTTATTAACTTTTTAATGATGGCTTTCAAGGGGGCATTGAGAAACCCCTGCTGCATTTGGTGCACAAGTCCTGTCGCCTCTCCAGTTTGTTTGTTTTTCCCCCGTTGTTGTGGTTGCCAACTCCTGGGATACCGGAAGCACTTGCGTTGCAGAAGGCAACCAGCAAGCCTAATGGGAAGAAGATGCCGGGACAGCAACGAACACCCAGATCTAAGTGTTTTGAAATGTCTGCAAAGTTTTCGGAACTGTGCTGGCGTGGCCGATTCCTGACATGCCCCTTCTCCTCCTGCTGCTTCTTCTCCTGCAGGTCCAGATCCTAAACAAGAAGATTGATTTGTCTAAAGTATCCTCCAAATGTGGCTCGAAGGCAAATATCAAGCACAAGCCAGGTGAGAAACAGGAAGAGGCAAAGGACCCTGGGGGGGGGTCAGGGATTGGGGTCAGGGAGAGGAGGCTCTGCTGAGCCAAAGTGTGTGCCTTCACCCCCCTCTCTCTGGAGGCACCCCCTCCCCTCTTGCTGCTTAAATGAGACCACCACCATCACCACCACCACCACCACCCCCTGGCTGGCGGATCATACCCACCCCTGGCTGGTTCATTCTGTTCCCATGCCACCCCTTAGGGAAGCCTGCCAGCAGGGGGTGAGGACAACAGTGCCTCCCGCCCAGGGGCGCTCAGCACCTGATGCTCTGGAGGAGGCCGCCTCAGAGGCTGGAAGTGGTCTAATGGGGTGGGTCCCCGCAAGAGGGTCAGCGTTGGCTCTGGTTTGGACTTGTCAGGCCTCTCCCCTGATCTCGCCCACCACTCCATATTTCCCCCCCCCCACCGCCTCTTGTCGGAGCAAGGCTCACTCCTTCTTTGAGCTCTCTGAGGAGGCCCCTTTCCCCTGACCTGTCCACCCTTCCACTTCCCTGGGTGTGACCCCCACTGGGCTTTAAGGGACAAGCTCTCCCCTGTCTTCTTTCTCCACACCAGCTGTCCTGTTGCGCACGGCTCTCTTTTTTTAAAAAATCTAAGCCGAAGAGCTCCATCGGCTGTGATCTTTCCTCCGAGGAGAATTCCTTCGGCCCTTGTTCAGTCCAGCTGCCCGTTACGCCTTTCCGGGTGTGTGTGTATCCTCCTGTATGTGGCCACCCCAGCGTTTTGTGTGAAGCCAGGACAATGTTGGTCTCCCATTGCACGTGGATCAGGGCGCGGTGACTGTCCGGATCCTTCTCTTTGGCCATAGAGAGGCGTGGAACCTGAAGCCGTCCTGCAGACCCTGCCTGGAATAACCCCCTCCCTCTGCTTTGTGTTCCAGGGGGTGGAGATGTGAAGATCGAAAACCAGAAGTTGAACTTCAAAGAGAAGGCCCAGGCCAAAGTGGGCTCGCTGGACAACGTGGGGCACGTCCCAGCTGGGGGCACAGTGAAGGTATGTGTTGGGTGCCCCACCCCACCAGCCCCACGGGTCCCCCTCCCTCCTTTCCCACCCTATATATATACCCTGTGTGGCCACTCGTCAATCCTCCTGTCAGCCATTGCACCTTCACGTCCATTTACATCATCCCTCAGGAAGGAAAACTGCTGGACAGACACTCTCAGGGCTGTTCTCATGGGGAGGGACAGCATGCCCGGCCCTGAAAGGCTGTGTGTGGCGGCAGCAGACCTGTCCTTTTCCCCTGCCCCCAGATATACAGTGGGACCCTGCAGGATCTGTATCCACTGATTCACTTCCCCACAGCCTGAAAATATTAAAGATATTGAAAGACAAATCCTAGAAATATACATTTCTAAAGATTAAGTTACAAAAACTGGTCACTAGGGGGAGCCAGAGACAGTGTTATGTATAGTATTTGCTCTTAAAATAGTGTTTGCTATTATCCGCGTTTTTCAGTATCTGCAGACCAGCTTGCAATCAATCCCCCACAGATAAGGGAGTCCTACTGTATACACATGCATGCTCCCACTCTGATACTGGAGGAGGCATAGTTCAACTGGTGGGCTCAGGCATTCCCCCCCCTTGTGCCAAATTATGTGAGTGGTTGGGTGTGAAAAAGGTCAAGAGCAGCCACTTCCTTTCCAGATGGAAGTGTCTCGATTCTGCCCCCCCCCCCATTTTCAGGTTCTGTTCTGGTCCTTTGGGGGTCTCAGGGGCCCAGCTGTTCTGGGACTGTTCCCCTCCATTTCTCCCCTCCATGAACACAGTTGTTAAAGGGAAGAGGCAAGCCATCGCCTGCGGATGTTTCTCCAGGGTGTTTCACCCTCCCCTCATCAGCCTGGCTAATTCCCCCAGTTCTTTGCCACCATCGGGATAAGGGAGCAGGAGGGGGCAGGCAGGCCAGGCTCCTAAAATCCGTGGGCAGTTAGTTGGAGTAGCCAGAACTGACTGTCAGTCTTGACCCTGGGATCCCGGTGCTCAAGAGGGGCCATTAAGACCCTCGTGAGCTGGAATCCGGGCAGAAGTTGCTTTGGAGGGGACGCGCCCAGAGCCAGCAGGAGGTGGGCGATGGGTGTCTGCAGCCAAGAGGGATGCTGGACCTGATTTCTGGCTCACAGGCACGATGCAAGGGTGTTGTGTCCTGGCCCATTCCTCGCACTCCCCTTCCTTGGCCTTTTACAAGAACATCGCCGTGTCCCCTCTCACCATCCTTGGATGGGCTGGGGCATGAAAGAGGAGAGGGAAAGGCCTGCAGAGAGAGAAGGGAAGGCCGGAGGTGGGTTTCGAGAACCGAGGGGAAGGAATTGGGAGAGTTCTTAAGGAAGAGAGAGGTCAGCAGGTGGGACTCCATCATCTGCCCCGGAAAGGTCGCGGCAGGGAGAGAGCAGAGCCAGCTTTAGGCAACAGCCGCAGGGACCTAAAAGAAGGCATGGAGAGAGAGAGCATGTTTTAGAGTGCTGAGGGACCAAACTGGGTCTGCCTCCTTCCAGCACCCGTAAATCCCAATCGGCCGGCCCAGCCCACCCCCACCCCGACCGTCTCTCCCTGTCTTTGTGCCTCATTCCACTCCATGCCCATCCTTGTATTGACGCCTCATTGTCCTCCCCACCCCATTGTTTCATTGTAGACTGAGGGGGGTGAGGAGGCGGCCCCGCAGAACGGAGCTGTGACCGCCCCCCCGCCAGGCAGCGGGGCCAGGCAGGAGAATGGCGTAGGGCCCGCCGCGCCCCTTCAGGGCAGTGGTGACCAAAGGGAAATGCAGAGCTTCGACACTCACATACAAGAAACAAGTAAGTACCAGGCCCTCTCTTTCC